GTCGAGGCTGCAGTGGCCGGGAACGACTACTGCACTCCAGTCTGGGCGACAGAGTGAGACTCCAACTCAAAAAAAAAAAAAAGATGTAAAATATCTTTTACCATCTCATTAAAAATTTGCTGCTGGACTGGGTCCCCTCCCACTGTGGGAGTTTTTCTGTCCTCTCAATAAATCCTGCTTTAAAAAAACAACAACAGCAATAACAAAAAAAAGGCTGGGCACGGTGGCTCAAGCCTGTAATCCCCGCATTTTGGGAGGCTAAGGCGAGAGGATTGCCTGAGCTCAGGGGTTTAAGACCAGCCTGGGCCACTTGGTGAGACCTCATCTGTACAATAAATCAAAAAATAAGCTGGGCGTGGTCGTGTGCACCTGTATTTCCAGCTACTTGAAATGCCAAAGTGGAAGGATCGCCTGTGCCTAGTAGGTCGACGCTGCGGTGACCATGAGTGTGCCACTGTACTCCAGCCTGGGTGACAGAGTGAGACTCCCACTCAAAAAAAAAAAACAAAAAACTTGCTGCTTAGCAGTTGGAAATGTTACATTCCCAGCTCTCTTTTAGATTGTATTTCATTCCATACCACCTCAGAATTTTGCCCTGATACAGTATTTTGTATATTTAAAAAGTCTTATACTTTCTTAATGTATATCTCTGCATCAGAAATGTGAATATATTGAAATGTTTTTCCTGCAATCTTTTTTGTTGTTGTTGTTATTGAGAAAGGATTTATTGAGAGGACGGAAAAGCTCCTACAGTGGGAGGGGACCTGCGGGGGTTGCCTTTCCTGCAATCTTAAGGAGTATTAACTTGATTTACAAAGCATGTTTTATCATTTGTCAGTATCACTTATGAGTGGTATACAGTTGACCATAACAACACAAACTATTTGGAAGTGCATCTCTTAATGATAACAGGGAGGGAGTTCTGTGCCCTAATTAGAGGAGGCTTCACTCATGGTAGTCTCAGGTGTTCACACCATGGTGGATAAAAGTAAGGCGTTTTTGTCAGATGAGACAAGGCTAGCTTTTGAGGGGTTGGGATTTGGAAAGGAGAGGATACCAGACTGTGGATCTGTTCTCAGGCATCTCTGCTTTAGGAAAGAGCATGCATAAGAACTGAGATGCTCTCACTTTCATTGTTAACCTTTTTTTTTTTTTTTTTTTTTTTGA